TAATAATAATAATAATAATAAGTAGAGTACTTAAATCATTCGTTCAACCTTTTTCTTTTTGCCTTTTTTTTCCTCCAGCATTAATATCAAAATTTCATAGAAAAATATATGTTCGTGACAATACTAAAGTTGAATTAGAAAAAACAAATATTTATAATTTACTTAAACTTAAATAAATACGTGGAGACAACATTTTACAACTCTAAAAAAATATAAAAAAAATAATAATAATAAAACAAAATAGTCGATCATTTAAAAATAATTTCATACATGAAATATCTCCTACTATTAAATAATAATATTATTATATGATGGTGGTAAATAGAAATGTTAACGTAACCAAAGTTTTAAACATCGATGAAAATATCAAGGTCTCAATTTCATGAAAATATTTGATAAAAATATCGATAAAATATCAATAATCAAATAGATATTTTCAAAAAAGTTAAAAACATAAAAAAAATTTTAAAAAAATTTAAATTAACATAAGGATTGTTTCATATTTCTAAATAAGTGAAAACTATTTTTCCTATTTTGTTGATATTTTTGTAATCTGTAGATATATATGAAAATATGGATGAAATATAATGAAAGGTATAGTTGAATTTGAGAAAGCCTAGAAAATTAAATAGTAAGGATAATAATAAAAAAGTTAGGGCCGCAAAGTGAAATATTTAACTTTGGGGGGCCGCAAGAGGAGAAAAAGAATATTAATTGAATACGAAGAATCTCTTGGCCCGATATTGATAAGCTCCACTGGCGGTGACAGACCGGCGTCGGCTTTTGCACTACTTCCAATGCTTTTATTATATAACTAACAAATCCAATCCTTACCTTACCTACAAACGAAGGAAGAATATTTTTCAAACACATTCACTGTACTTTCAATTCTATTGAAATGTGGAAATTTCGGTTTGGTGAAAATTTTATGAAACCATATATTTAACAATCTAAGTTAAGGTTGTTGTGATTATTTGGAGCCAAAATAAATGAGAAGAAAAAAAAAAAAAACTTTGCTAAGTTATTGGGCCAAGAAATCACAAGGCTCAATTTCACCTTAGTCTGGTGTCATTATAAGGTTATTTAAATTGGCAATCGTGGGAAAGTATTTCTTAGGTGTTGTTGCATGAATACTTTCAGGGGTAGCATGGTAGCAGGCAATTAGCAAAAGAAGAAGACGAGATCCCGAAGTTGCAGTGCATCGTTGGTAACCAAATCTCGTGAGTATTGAAAGATATATTTTTTTTCTATTCTTGTATTTTCTAAGATCATATTGTTGTAGTTCTTAAAAGCTAGGTGCCTTTTGTTGAGGTTTAATTTGAGAGATGTGTGTTGCCCATTATTTATCCCAAAATTATAGTAGAATCCGTTGTCGCGGAACACTAGATGTAGCCCATAGTTGGGTGAACCAGTATAAATTTGTTTGTGTCGTTTCTGTGCTTCCCAATATTTTTCTATTGGCTTATTTCAACTGACGAACTGTAGTAGAGGAAAATATTATTGGTACGTAAATTTTCCCAAGAAAGCTCATCTAAACCAGTTTACTATACGTAGTTTGTATATCTTGGTGACACAGTCGTATATACAGTAGTTGTAGATCGATGGTCCAACCATGTAATCGAGACCTATACACTCATTTTCGTATGGCTCTAGATCCAATCTTTATTATAGCGGATTAGTTAGTAGATGATCCAAGATCACCCGAGATAAAAAGACGCAACAGATTTACATATTGATGTAGATCAATACCCAGATACAGAACGAGACAGGTCCATATCAGTAATATAAAGTGTTGGGTTTTGGTAAAATATTGGAATAAAAGTTGTCTCACATTGGAAGAATAAAGGATAGTCTCCATGTGCTAGAAGTCGTCGTCTCCATGTGCTAGAAGTCGTCCCTCATAGGCTTGAGTTTTAATCATCTAAATTGAAATACTTTAAGCCTGTAGCTCTAGTTAATAAATCTGTGATTATAATAATTTTTCACATAGTGGATTTTGGAGTTTTTCCACATTAATTTGTGTTTCTTTATTTTATTGTTTTTTTTAATTTCTCACTTATTTCCTGCTTATTCCTACGATAAACGGAGCTAGATTTTTTCCATTTTTGAGTATGCTCTGTGGTTGCAGAACTTCCGTGTTTGGTTGTATATATGTCTGAGATTAAGATGTCTGAAAATGAATTATATATAAATTTAAATTTATTTTGTGTGATTACTCTAGAAATATACATTTTATCTCATTGTAAACATTGATTAATAACAAATCAAATTTAAATAAAAAATAAATAATAAAAAATAAATTATTTTATATTAAGCCTTCTAAATTTTAAATAATCAATTGAATAATTAATATTAAATGTTATTTAACTAAAATTCAATATATACATGTTTAGCAAAATGATATATTTGTATAAAGCTTTCCCTTTTTAATAAATCTATTATAAATAATATATCTAAATTCATGTAGTTGATTTTATTTAGCAATCAATCTTAATAATTATCATTTTATGTGTTTAACAAAATTGATCATTTTCATCTTATTAATTGCATCAATTAATTACATTTAAAAAAAAATTAAGTATACACTTTAATAAATTAATTTATTACAATATAATAATTAATTTAATACATTATTTGTAAAATTTTAATGTTGTTTTATTAATTATAAATTTAATTTAAATATTTTAACTAATTTTAATGAATTAATTTGAATAAAATAAAATAAATAATTACATTAAAAAAATTATTTAAATGAAAAGATATATGAGTAACAAACAAGACTTTACTTGCCCATGTCCATTCCTACCCAAAACCTCCCAACCAAACGACCTCTTAAAGATAAAAAATCTCTCTTTGGCAACTACCTTTCTCTCTTGTTGGATCGGTAAGAGATACTTAAATATTCCTATTCTTCTATTATATTTTAATTGAAGTAGTGATTTAGTTCATGCAAACCAACTTATTGTATATAATATATATTTCTAAGTTTTAACGGTAGGTGTGATAATTCAAATATATAAATGTATAATATTTTAACCAATGGAGGATCGAGATCCAAATCATCAACAAATTCAATGTGATAACTGATAAATTTCTTACATCACAAATAGATTGAACAGATTTTATAGATACATAACAAAAATATGTAGGGATATAAATCAATCACTTCACGACTACACTGTACTATCAATTTATTTTATTTTTTAATATTCGTGAGTATCCGAACCAGTTTACATTCATCTTGACTAATCTCATGGAGCAGTCATTTGATACTACAATATTTAGTGTCAGGAAACACATAGAAATTAATTCTTAAGGTAGATGAGATTTAAACTCATTCTCTCTTATTTTACCCTAACCCCTTTGAATTTACCCAAATTATATAGGTAAGTTTTCATGAGACATGAAAATAAGAAAAATTAGAACCCACGGTGTGGTTTCTGATGAGATGAAACAAAATCGAGATCTCGTCGTTTTGATTTTTCGATGGTCTAGGGTTTTATTTGTCGCCATTTTTTTGCTTCTAATTTCTAATGCAACTGAACTTTAGAATCTATGTACATTTTTTCCCCTCTCAAAATTTAAATTTAATTTTACGGTTGGCTTAAGATATTTTGATACTAAAAAGAAATCTTCAATTTCCCGTTAAATTAGGGTAAGAATATTTGCACTCAAATTATATCGTTTTTTTCCCTTAATTAAACAAATTTGATAGTTCATAAAGGTACGTAATTAAAATGGTAATGATTTATTTATCACTTAAAAGTGCCAATTAAAGCAAAATTAATGTGTGGTTGATTTCGATATTTTCAAGCCAAGTATATATGGTAATAATTATGATATAATATAGGGAAAAAGAATCTAATTTTGTCCCTGAATTTGGTGATGTATATTAATTTTCACCATAAATTTGCAATATCATCAAATTTGGACCATAGACTGAAATAGGTGTTTGCAAATTTTAGGCTCGGTACAATTTTTACTGATTGACCCACTAATTAAAAAAAAAAAAATGTAAAAATCTTCAAATATTCACTAATTTCAATAAGATTAAATTTTACACAAAGATTAAGTTTGATTAATACAAAAAATTGATTATTAAATGATGTTTTAAAAATTCACAAATTTTAATTAAAACATACCAGCTCTAATATCGTTTTTCTTTGAAATCTTATCAATTTCGTTCCACGAATGTTTTACCATTCATTGAATACATTAAACATTTTTTAATGATTCTTCAACTGAGAACTTATAAGAAGGTAGAATTTGCAAAAGATTGTAAAACTATATTTGAGATGCATTTCAAACATAAACTTGTTTTAAAGATTTTCAAATTGTTTTGTTTTTTGAGATTTTGTAAAAATTGTTTGGTAAAAATTAATAAAGGGGAAAATATCCATAAACTTGGGTAGCTATACCATATTTTCAATTTCTTCCCATTGAATCTTAAACTTGGATAAGTATAAGTACTCTTTACTTTTAATCTTTATCATATTTATAATTAATTTTAAATTTTTTTATTTCTAACCCATTCGTATTTTAAAGTTTTATTTTATTCTTGTTTTTTAGTACGATGGAGATTCGAATTACAAATTGGTTAAATTACAAATTTAGTTACAATGTAGTCTTTATAATCTTAAAATTTTCCATTACAAATTTCTCAATTTGATACCAAATTTAGAATTTTATTTTAGTCTCTATGGTTGAATGGCATTTTTTTCTACATGGCAATTAGTTGATGTTTCCGGTCATATTTAGTTGACTATGTTAATCGACGAGCTAAGTAAAAAATATGAAAAACTAAGGATTTTTGGGTAGGTAAAAGACCGTATGGGGACAATTTGTGAGGTTTACCTGAACTATAAGAACTAAATTAAAAATTTTAAACTATAGAGATATAATTGAAACTAAACCTGAATTATATAAATCAAAATTGAAACTTTTAAACCATAGAGACCAAATAACAACTAACAACTAGCCAGAAATCAGAGACTAAATTCTCAATATAACCCGATAAAATTTTATGGATAAAGCATTTTTATGAAAGGTTTTAAGCCCCAAAAAGCGAATTGCAACTGCAGCAAAGTCAGGATTATGGTTCACATTCAAACTATTGACATTGAAAAAGAAAACTTTATTACATACAATGAAGGCAAGCAATTGTCATATTTTTATTCAAAGTAGAAAACAAAGAAGCAAATCCTTGGAGCTAGAAAGTGGGTATTTTTTTTATTTTTTATTTTTATTTTTTGGTCTTTTTATCTGTACTGTGATGAAAAGGAAGCTTACTTTGGGGTGTAGCAAGTCCAATTACAGCTTCACTGCAACTCCCCAACTGGTGCCTCATTTAGCCACAAGAAATGAATGAAGTCATATAGTTTAGCACTCACACTCACCTGCATTGAACATTGTAAATTTGTCAATGTCAAACCCAATGAATCCGATCAATATGGTGAAAGAAATACCAATGCGATGTATTGATAGTACTTTGTACGGTGTCGGATTAAGTCTTCTCATGTGGTCGGGACGCATTTTCTCGAGTTGTTTAATGCATCGATTCCTTATGTCCTTCAGAGCTGGTAAACGTTCTGCTGCTTTACCTTCAGCAAAAAAAAAGGAAAAGAATTGAGTTAAACCATTAATTGCATGAATTTCTAGTGGAATCTATGCAAGTGTTAGGGGCGGAGCAAAGTACGAATTTGCGCCTCTTGGTTTATTTTAGCTTGAAAAATATTATATAAAACAAAGTTAAGATTTTAAAGTTATCTTATCTCTGTAATTTCCCCCTAAGTTTTCAGAATTGAAAGTAAAATCCCCCCGCCCCCTATCAGTTCTGCCTGTGCAAGCTTTGTCACCTGATTTTCCAGTCCAGTAACACTTGAGGAGCTCCTCCACTTGCTGTGGCACCACATATGCTCTTTTCGATTCATTAAACGGGTGACGACATAGAATCCGTTCACCCACCTGCATTTTCACGATGAAATAGTTAGACTTTTGTCACAATAGTTACCAACTGTATGCCCAATAGATCTTTTAAAAGACAATATAGGTTCAGTTGTGTCAGCCGCTAAATCTAGCTCAACCTACTTAAACATAACTTAATGATTTGTTGAAAAACACGTATCTAAATTATAGGGAACCTTATGTATATGGTGAGATATACAAAGTGAAATTTCTTTTCCAGCAACCATATTTTTATTATATATGGCGCTATAGAGAATTCTGTGACTATTTTCCTTCCAATTCTAAGTTCTTTGAGGAGCTTTGTATCATCCTCTTGACTAAATGGGAGAGCAAAGATTATCGCCTATCAAATATTTTTTGTCATGAAAAATCTCTTACTAAAAAGGGAAAGAAAAATGCGATAAAATAGTAGCAAACAGAAAAAATAAAAAGAGGAAAGAAAAGAGTGGTATCAGCACTAATATAAGTTAATAAATACCTTAGGAGCCGGTTCATTCTCGCCTGACATTATATCTACCAGTGGATAGCCTTCTTTCCCATATAATCTAAAAATCCGCTTCTTGCATGGAATGGAGACCTAAAACAATGAAGAAATAAGTAAATAAACATTATAATATACAAGCACAAACCGAAAAGAATTTACTTCACAATTTTAACAAGAAATTACTTAAACATCACAACCTTTGAAACGTCTTCAGAAAGTTTAATTCGGGGCTGATTATTTATTTCAACTAGCTTGAAGACACATCCTAAAGCAGCCTGAGCATAACATGTAACCAAATAGGTTCCAATTCCGAATGCATCAACCTCATGACCCTGCATAGGATAAACAAATTAAGAAAAACTTGCTCAATCTGCATGTTCTGTTGTAACCGGTTGATAGAATCTCGATTCTATTATTTATGTTCATAAGAAGTTACAAACCATGGGAGAATTCGAGAGTTTCCTGCTCTCTATCCAAATACTATTCCTTAAGAAATGTTAAGAATGAATAAACCACAACTCAACCCAAAAGCTTAAGTTAATGGATGTGTAAATTTAATTCATTTATATGGATTTTCACACTCCCCCTCACTTGTGGATTTGGATAATTGACAAAACCCAACAAGTGGAAATCAATATAAATGGAGAGGAAATAACAATGCAGGGGTTTGAACACAGGACCTCCCGTTCTGATACCATGTTAAGGATGAATAAACCATCACTCAACCCAAAAGCTTAAGCTAATAGGTCGGGTAAATTTAATTCATTATATGGATTCTCAACAAGAAACAAGCAAAAAAAAAAAAAAATAATATCCGCCTCTCCTCAATCGAGATATACCCCTAACTACTAAAACCATCTATGCCCCTCTAACTAACTTAGGGCCTCACACTCGTAACAGAACTTCACCTCTCCCATTTCATCAGCCGCTCATCCCATATTTCTCTCTTGCTAGAATATACCTTCCTAATTTGGGACATATCACTAGTCTAGCTTATATATTTTCCGTTGTAACTGGTTCTGATAAGCTTGTTAGTTATTAACAAGTTAGTCAATTGGCTAGCAGCTAATTACACTGCACACCAACCTTTGAAACATATGTTAGCTGATAAGCTTGTTCAAATATTGCAATTTGTTCCGAAATAATAGCAAATCTATTACAAGTTAAAATTTTTTGTAGATGTGGCACAATTTTTGATAAGGCCCATAAGCATATTTCAATTCCACAAGTCTATCAGTGGTAGACATTTGTCTCTATTAGTCTCCTTACAAAATTGCCATATTTGTAAAATCTTATCCCTCGTACTATATTCGCAAATATCGAAAAACTATTTTGCCACCCTCCCCTATAAATAATGTCCTAGCTACTCGATATATAGCATCAATTTTCAAAGTAACAAAAATTTTAGACTGTGAAGGAAAGGTTTCCATTGGTTCTTGGTTGAAAAATGTGACATCTGAGGGAAACTTCCTTCCCGTGAGCAAATAACTACTGCTATACACCACCAAGGGAATAGATATGGGGCAATGGTATAGTCTATGTGAAGCAAAGTGGACATATCAACTCTTGACTGAGTTATGCTTTAGAATCACAAGTGCAGCTGGTTTGTGAGTGAGAATCAAGAGACAATTAATACTACTTCTGAGTATTTCATCGATTGAATGTTGACTTGCACGCCAAAGTCTTGGTTCTTTCTCAAAGTGATTGAACCCCATATCAGGTATACTTATGCAAAGGGACAAGAAGCTGAATTAGGTATGGAAAGTTTCATACGAGTGAGTAATACTAATACGTAGGGCAAGAAATGTTTTGCTGAATAGTATTGGAACATGTCACTTGTAAGGCTGAGTTTCCAAATGATTAGTCCAAAATGCATTACAGACTAAATTTTAATTTCTAACGTAGAGTATGTACTAATTCTTCTCAAGAGAATTTATCAGATTCCAATAAAGTGATAGATTCAAACTACTTTACTGAGAAGCACGTGTTAGGATCCTATTATATAAGAAAGTAACACTAACAATATAACTATATTGCACTATCAAAGAGAAATTACAATATCAATAGCCTTTCAAGAGGGCTATCTCTCTCCCAAGTTCCTCCTATTCCAAAACATGTCCCCTTTCTCTCCCTATACCTCTATTTATAACCAATTCATCCCTAACTAATTACCATAACGCTACTCCTAGTATATCCCTATCCCTAACTAATTACCATAATGCCCCTCCTAGTATATCCCTATTAGTACTCTCACAGAATGATTCAGTTCCTATTCAAAATCACTCAAGCTCTTAGCTCAAACTGAGGGGAGGGGTTTCATATTTCAGTAAAACGAATACAAAACTTTCCTAACAGAGGAATACCTCTCAACAAACACAACTCCACATAAGAAAATCAAGACCCTTCAATAGAAATGATTACCTGCTTGTTTAGAGCATCTAAAGTTTCCTCATTGAGATCATTACTGGCAGAAATACTTATTTTTCCAAATCCAGGCACCCCAAACTCCTTTTCAATGGCCATGAAAAATTTCCGTGCCTCACAAGACAAATATGCTAAATCACCAGAGTCCAACCTAATCCCTTTAGCTTGGTACCTACACTAAATAGCATCACAACTTAGTACTCATAGTTCAATAATTCCTCACATTACTCAAAAGATTGGAGTATTAAGTCATGGAATCAAAATTTTATAAGATAAGTGCAGATAAAGACATACAACTAAATGAAGCTAAACAAAATGTTAACAAAACCACGTACCCACAGCTCAGCCAACTAACTGAGCAATCAGTCGAACAAAGCAGTAAAATAGGCCAATTATAGCAAAAGTAAAATAGGCTAGGAACCAAACATTGCATTTCTAGTCGAATCATAAATGTACGTAGAAGTAAAAGAAATGAGGACAACTAAGCGCCAACTTAAAGGATAACCAAAAAAATTAGAAACCTTCCTCACCAATCAAGTTTTGATTCAGAAAAGCCATTATATTAGCACTCATAATTGTAAATGTCAATTGTACTTCAGTTCAGTCATACCCCAAATCATTGAGTGCCAGAGCAACTGCACAGAAATTAGGAATTCCACTCCGTATAACCTGGCAGAGAAATGTCAATATAGCATTTGTTATAAATGTAGGCATCAACCAGAAACATGAACTGTACTCAAATGAAGAAAACTGATTACACGCAAACAAATATATATACAGATTTGTTAAATGATCACAAATAGAATTATTAACATCTAGTTTATTACTATAACGTGTAGTACCCATGTAATTATTGTAGAGACTAAGGTTGGAGAGGATCCAATGTCATGTATTCTCATTATTAAAGTCTATATATATAGACAAATATACAAGATTGACCTAATCCTATAAGGAGAAGGTAAAGGACAAATTAATATTAATACAAGAATATAAAATATACTAATATCTATACTCTAACACTCCCCCTCAAGTTGGTGCATATATATTAATCATGCCCAACTTATTAGACAAACAATCTATTCAACTTGTGTTCTGTGATTTTTTGATGTCATTGGGATCACCTCAGAAGTTACGATTGATTTCTTCTCAGCCATAATAAACAAATGAACTTATTTGAACAAAACGACAAAACCAGACTAAACCACCCGAACCAAACAAAACAGATGAATTAAACTGCTGGAACCAAACCGGATTAGGTGTTTTCTGAAACCAGAAACCCTAACTGCTACCCTACGACAACCAGAGGGGCGAAGGCGATTGGCAGCGAGACGAAACCTACGAACAGCAATCGGAAAACAGCAGCGCTGGCGAATCAGCAAACGGCCGCGGTCAGCGGCGGCGGCGGCGGTAGTGAGTTGTGTTGGATAGCAATGAACTAAACCTCAAGGGACAAAACCCTAATGGGCACAGAACCCTAAACCTGGCTCTGATACCATGTAGAGACTAAGGTTGGAGAGAATCCAATGTCATATATTCTCGTTATTAAAGTCTATATATAGACAAATATACAAGGTTGACCTAATCCTATAAGGAGAAGGTAAATGACAAATTAATATTAATACAAGAATATAAAATATACTAATATCTATACTCTAACAATTATAAATGAGGTAATTTTTCTAGAGAAACTTGATCTCGATTAAGGGATTTCTTGAAACCAAATTCATAAAATATGGAGAATGGAGATGGGACATAAATCGAAAAACTCCTCCCCATCTTCCTCACTTTGTCACCATCCCTACTCACAATATACTCCTGAGTAATCAAATTTTGTTAACATTCTGAGGGGATTCATTTTGGGGGAAAATGAAGCAGAGGTGTCCCACCTTCACTATGCTGATGATGTCCTTCTTTTTTGTCCCCAATCTTCGGATATGCTTGCTAATTGGTGGGGGGTTTTCGATTTTTTCTTACTCGCCTCTGGTCATGCCCTTAATGTGACTATATCTTCATTGATAGGCTTAAATTGCAGTGCTTATGAAGTGGATTCGTGGGCTCAGTAGTTTGGCTGCAGGATGGAAAGCCTTCTTTTCTCTTATCTTGGCAACCAAAAATCTGTAAGCTTTTGGGAACCGGTGGTGGACAAAATGAGAGTTAGGCTTAACAAATGGAGGAATTTCCAGCTATCAAAGGTGGGGAGGCTAACTTTGGTCTGAGAAGTTTTAAATGCTATCCAAGCCTAGCTCTCATTTGGTCCACCACCCTCGTAACATTTCCAGCATGAATAGATCGTTCTCAACCCAAATATAGAAGAAGTTTCCATTAATATGACAACTACTAACTTCCATCTTCAAACTTAACGGCACTTCACAAAGAAATCAGTATCAACTTGCTAAAAAAAGGAACTAAGAACAATCTAACAACAGGGGAATCGGATAGAATCAACTAGGAGATAGGAAGGGGGAGGAGAAGAGGAGAGAGAACAGAGCATACTTACCTTCCTGATGTAGTAGTAAAATTACTAATTTGAATAATAGGAATGTGTTCTTTTTTTAGTTTCGTTTGTTGTTTAACGGAGTATTTGACTTGCGAGGAATGAGAAAACTTTTAAAGGGTTATACTTTAGAGAGGGGTCTTGGAAAGAGGTGTGGGCTCTTGGTAAGTCTAATGCATCTCTCGACATCTATTTTTAAGGACTTCTGTAATTATTCTTACCTTGTTAGGTCAATGGTTGTTGTTTTGGCTCCCTTATCTAGGCTGTGGTTTTGTCAGCCCCATTTGTATTCCTTCAATGAAGCTTAACTTCTCATTATTAAAAAGGAAAAAAAAAGTGTTTCATAGAACATCAAGAATAAATTGAAAATTGGATTCAGATTTAATAAAAGTTTAAGCAGTACTTAATTTTTATATTGACAAGTTTTCCTCCATGATTATGTCTCCTATAATTCAATTGCATCCCTATTCTATAAAAGCAAATAAAAGTTCTATAAAATGGTAAAAGTTCTAGTTAAAGGGAAATTAACTGGATAAGACATCTTAGTCGGAAAGTGAAAGAAGTATAACAAGTAAAATAAATTATTTAATCATAGTAGGCGTTTTAGTAAGTCTATTTAACTCACATCATATGTATCCACAAGAGCAAGGAAGTCGGTAGGAAATGCCAAAGCATAGGATGTGAACGCAGCCAGCTCACTTTGATTGGTATCACCAAAAGTGCCATGTAATGAAGGCAACCACTGCAAACACGTGCAGAGTTTTGTGTGATCATGACCTCTGATTTAGCAGAAATTATGATAGAAAACATAAAACAATTAGAGATCGTATGCATGGGAAAATCATAAATATATTCGTGAGCCTGACACAATGCTGCAAAACTATATGATCCCGAATTCTTTTAAATTGACAGTTCATTATGCATTTGATTCATGGCAAAACCTCCCTTTCCAGCTCACTCTTCTCTTATTATTAACTGCTACGAAACTTTACCACATAACTAAAAAGCCGAAAACATTTCCTCATGATGCAGCCTAGCATTTAACTCTCCGTAACAAAAAAGTTGTGAACAGAAGAGCTTACCCCCTCTATTTGTAGAGGAAATCAACCAAGCTTAATAACGAAACAACCTTGAAAAGTTAATTAACAAATTAACAGCTACTTGATAGGAAACAGATATTGAGATGAAAATTACTAGGAAAATAGTATTGATAGAAGTACAATTATAATAATCCAGGCACTTCGGGAGATTGGATTCTCCACAAACTGTTTCCGAAAAACTGCCTATCAACGTCAACTCCCTCTACTTATATCTGAATATAGGAGATAATAAAACCTCATGAACATAGTGATCTAATACCTGAATCTTGCTTAACCACATTTGAACTACACTAAGAAAATCTTCACACGTGCGTGAGCCATCACTGCTACGAAGTGACTTGTCTATGATCTCATCTGGGCTCTGCAAACCACACATTATATTATATAGCAATAAATTCGAACTGATAAATTCTTCTTACATAATAGTGTTTATGTGACAAGTGAAAAGGCCAAAACATTTCAACTGAAAAGAAATATAATAATTGGTCTGACCTACTTGAGGAGTTTGTTTAGAACACTGCATTGAACTTTAATGGACAATATTGATACTTTTAGGCTAAAATATGTTTTCAATATAAAATATTACCAGGTTTTATTCATATTCTTACGTTTTAAAAATAATTCATTTTATTTCATTCCTAATGTGAATCTATATTATCATTGGCCATTGATTAATAAAATGGAAAAAACTGATGTGCTACTAGCATAAATAATCACATCATGATCACAGTTCACATGCCAATGAAATTAACATCATTACGCTAACAAGTCAGCATTTCAACAAAGAAGTCGACAATTAGAGGCATTTCTCAAGCACTTTTAATAGCCAAATAAAAATGAAAACAAAAATTGAGATATGATTTCAAAATTGAGCGTGTTGAAGTCCTGGACTTATTGGGCTTAGAGGCCCATTGAAGATTGACCCAATCAAACAGGCGATAAAATCTCTTGACTCCAGATCTTCTACAAATTTCTCAGCCTTCCTTCCTCTTAATTTATTTAGATCGTCCATTAGGTTTATTACTGTTTTTTTCAACAGAAACATTTTTATTTAATGTAGGGAAGGATTCATGATTGGCTGTGGTGCTCTCCTATCACAATAGCTGGAACGCAATATGAGAGTTTTTAAAAGGTGAGGGTGCAATGCAAGGACTTCCCAAGTGGACGAAGCTGGGATCAAAACAAGGACGTCAGAGCCATCAAGGGGGCTTGGATGCACGGAAACCACTATGCCAACGAATATTTTGATTGCGAGGACTTCTCAAGTGGTCAGCCAATTTAGTGCTATTCTCACCCAAGCATGCTTTACGGGAGAGTTATGATGGAACCCAGTGCATTAATGCTCTGTGCAATGGTGTAATAGTTTTTTTTATGAGGAAGAGAGTAGAGACTGTCTATTGCATTTGAAAATCTATTCTAGTTTTAGTTTCTTCTTGATGTCTTCAGTCATAAGTTCTTTTGCAATAATTCCCTTTTGTCTATATATGCCAATTGGCATGTGTTTTGTGTTTCCACTACCTTTCATGAAACATTTTTTTTATCTAAAATATAAATGCGTGTTTGGGCAAACAAATCTGACTATTCTTTGTATTAATTTTCACTTCATTATAAAACTTGACAAAGAAGCTAGAGAGTATAATTAGAGAATAACAAACCATAAATGAGCTAACAAATGCATGGGAATGTGTTCCACGAAGTGGTATGCCAAATAACCTCCCAGCTGCAACATTGCTGTGTAAAGGAGAAAAGGAGAATGGATGTTAGCTTAAATTAATAATTGAAACTGCTAGAGATTGACAGTACACTTTTTTCATTTTTCTTCTTTTTTATAAGAAACCTGAGAAATATGTATTATAAACTTATAAACATAAAAGACAAAACAGCCTAAGGGCTGGGGTTGAGAGAACCACCACCTAACAAAACGCTAAAAGATGGCTTTTGAGTCGCTCAAAAACATGGAGAAGCTGTAATTACAAAAGAATTTCCAATTTGTAAGACACCACCAAGAAGATGTGTGCTATACATTCCTACAAAAGGTGTCAAAAGTAAAACTTTATCTTCAAATGTGCGCTGATTCCTTTCTAGCCAAATGTGCCAAAGAAGAGCTCTCACCGCATAATTCCAAAGGAATTAGCCTTTCGAGGTAAAAACCAGCCTGTCAAGGCTTCAGATAACTAACCATCGATATGTCTGTGAACACAGATCGAAATGCCAAAAATATCCAGTAGAAAGTACCAACCCCAGGCCGCAAAAGAGCAATAGATGAATAAGTGGTCTAAGGATTCACCGTAACTATTACACAAACTACAAATATAGGGGGAAATAGTTCAGCTTTTGCACTTCTTTTGAAGAACCTCTTGGATATTTAAGCTTCTATAGGCCAAAGACAAAAGGGAAACCTTGATTTTCTTAGGAATTCTAAAATTTCAAACGGGAGCAATAAGAGATGTCTTCAATTAAGGGGGGATCCTCTGTGGCGAAAGCTCCCCCTTTTCCTAAAGACCAATAGACCTTGTCATCACCCTCTCCAAGCCTTACCACATCCAGTAATGGAATGAGACCCACCCAACTTTCCATTTCCCTATCAAAGAGACCTCTGCAAAGGCCTAAATCCCAATCTCTTGAGTTCTCATGCCAACAATCAGCAATAGACACTTCTTTTTTCAAAGAGGTGTTGTAAATGTCCGGAAAAGAAGCTTGAAGAGTATCATCCCCTATCCATTTATCAAAACAAAATCTGATTTTTACCCCAATTTGCGCTTTGAAGTCTAAGAACTGGAAGAAAAAACCACTATTTTTTGCAATGTCGAACCAAGGTCTCCCCCTCGCTTTACCTTTACGTATAATAATGGACCACTCATTGGGACTATCATCATAGATACTCCTTGTCAATCTTTTTCATAGGGCCTCCTCTTGAAGGAATCCCCAAACCCATTTCTTTTGTTGGAAAGCGCCTACGCCCAAACCTCCTCTATGGCTTCGTTTCTTTAGATGTTTTGGGATTGTTTGGGCCTGTTCCAGAGATTGTAGGGCGATGATGGAAGAAGTGCTGTTATTCCCCCCATTTCGTGACAAAGGGTGTTTTCTTTGGCAAGCGTGCTTTCTGGCTACTCTTTGGGGTATTTGGCGGGAGAGAAACAATAGAATTCCCAGAGATTGTAGGGCGATGATGGAAGAAGTGCTGTTATTCCCCCCATTTCGTGACAAAGGGTGTTTTCTTTGGCAAGCGTGCTTTCTGGCTACTCTTTGGGGTATTTGGCGGGAGAGAAACAATAGAATTTTTAGGGGAGTGGAGAGATTTGTGGATTATGTGTGGGACCTCATTAGATTTAACACTTCTTTATGAGGTTCGGTCACTAAGGCTTTTTGTAATTATCAGTTAGATATCATTCTTTTGGATTGGAGCCCGTTTCTTTAGGGGTTTCCTGTTTCTGGGCTGTTTTTTGTATGCCCTCTTTTGTTGTTTTTATTCATTTATCTCAATGAAAGTGCAGTTTCTTATAAAAAAAGAAATCGGAGAGAATTCTTCCCTCAATTCACAAGGTGATTGCAGCCACCTTTTGAACTTTCACCATTCCAAAATTTTTTTTTTCAAGTAATCGTGAGTGTTCGAGCTAGCTAACTAATCTCACAGTACATATATTGTCAAACTAATAGAACACTCAAGTTGAAAGTCAACATTCTAATAACATCCCAAAAACTCATATCAATACCATGAGAAGTTCTCCTTTTCCCATAAAAAACAGTGGAGTTTAATACAAGACTCCAATTCAAGTTTTGGAAACTCATTAATATCTTGTGTTTCCGCAAATACTAGCTGCTGGAATTGGCTTCAACCATTGTAGAATATTTTATTACAAAAAATATTTCTGAAATAATAAACTAAAATAACGTGTGAATGCCGATTCTAAATTTGAAGTATGTATCCTATAGGAATAGTACTATTAAATAGATTGGAGGAAATATATGAAATGGAATTACTGCAAGATTATTGGCAGAGATGAAAGTTTACCTTGTTGCATCAAACCCTCCAATATAGCAGTACTTTGATGCACTAATTCCACCATCAGGTCCCTAGGACCAAGTAACGATGTCTTCTTCATGAGGATAAGCTAAATTCAGCACTTAAAAGAAAGGACGCAATGAAAGAAATAGAAACCTGAGCTCGCCGAAGTCCAAACTCGAGAAGAATTTTAGATTTCCCAGCAACAAATCGATGTCTTGCGGCATTTGTAGCAACTAACGATGCATAATTGATAAGATTTACAAATGGAGTTTCTAGTAACTGAACTACCTGGAAAAAAAAAGTTAAGTACAAATGTTATAATAGTTATGAAGATATTCTAGGATGAATGTTTTAGAAAGCTAAAGGCTGTCTCGAGACTTTTCCTCTTGAATTTGTGAGGCGTAAGTCTCAAGGTAGTATGAGATGTAAGCCTCAAAATTAATTAAAAATTTATACAAATGCTAAATTTGTGTGACCAAGTATTGCTAAACATAATATTTATATAAAAATATAAAAAATAATCACCCTTTTTTGTTCAATTTTTATTTTAGTAAGAAACAAGTTCATATACAAAAAGCCACATGGAAAAGTTACAATAATGTCTTCCAATTATAGACTAGGTCATTTAGATTGTAACTATTAAGGAAAAGTAGAAGCATTGCACCAACTTAGAGCTAATACGATGACTCTATTATAAAAATAAATAAAAAATTAAAAAAAAATCTCAAAAGAGAGAGTTGTGGCATTGAAGATCCTATTATTCTTCTCCAACCATAAACTCTTGCTCCCTCTTTCTTAAATGGATGACCAACCAGTAGAGTGTTAAGGAAGAAATTGGGGCTGTTCTGTAGATCTGTTTACCACCCAAGAGCCGAGAGGTTCCTTTCCGAAAACCTGGTAGCAAACTCAAGTGATGATGAGGTGGCCTTGTGTTTCTGATGCCCTATAACATAGATGGCAGCGATTTTGCGGAGAATTTTTTGAGTGGTCGAGTGACCAAGTCCACTTGTCAGCCAATAGGGGTGAGCATAGTCTTGTTTAAGATGTGTGATAGGCACATACATTCTTCAACTTCTTCTTCCTTAAGTGGTCTATGGAAGCTATAATCCCAAGATTTGCTGGTTTTGGACCAGAGCTCTGTGATTTTGGCATCTCTTGTTCGATGTTATGGAATAAAGCCTAGGAAAAAGGAAAGCCAAAGTCTCATGTTCCAGCCATTTGTCTTTCCAGAAAAAGTTGTGGCTATTTTCTCCCACCTGATAAAGGGCATTTTTCTTGATGAGGTTGGTTTGTGTCAAGATAGCGCACTAAGGGCCTTTGTAGGAGCTGTATCGACTGGTAAGCTAAATTGCCAAGGATGTCCCATCATACTTAGCCAAAATGAATTTCCTTCAAAGCTGGTTGGTCTCTGTTAAGAAACACCAAATCCATTTAGATAGCAAAGGAGAGGTTCTTTTCTGTATGTTACCTGTGCCCATGCCACCATCGAGAAGAGGGAGTTGAACCCTATTCTTTTTTTGGATAAGAGACAATGTATTCAAAAACCCAAAACAAAAGAGACAACCTAAGTGCAGAGGGTTGAGAAACCCTCCCCCAAAGAACTAAACAATTGCGGCCTTCCAATTTCTAACTATCAAATTGTAGGCTGTAGTTACAAAAGAATTTCTTATGGTTTATAGACCACCACGATGCAATATGCTGTACATTGCTACAAAAACTATCCAACAAAGACTTTTTATCTTCAAAAAACCTACTCTTCCTTTCTCTCCAAATGTGCCATGAGACTACCCTCGCCACACACCCTATTCCAATTGACAATGTTGCTTTCCTCTGGTGCTCCATCCTTCCCAAGAAAATCCCTGAAAAATTTTTCCACCCTTTTGGCCGCTGACCTGAAATTTTGAAAATTGATAAATAATAGGTAGGTAAATTAGCAAGTACTGATTGGACAATGGTGGGTCTCCCCCATTGGAGATGAAAAGATTGCTCCACTTGTTGAGACGGTGCTCTAGTTTTTCAATGATGAGCAGCCAGAAATCATCCTTTCTGAGGCTGCCATTCAAAGGTATTCCCAAATAGATGGTAGGCCAAGAGCCCATTTTAGATCCCCATGCTTTGGCAATAGCTGCCGTTTTCAAAGAATCTATCGAGATGCCTAAGATTTCAGATCGCTGTAGTTGATGTTGAGGCCTGAAGCATCCTCAAAGGTCTTGATGATTCTGTGGAGATTTTTTATGCTAGTCGGGTCCTTGCTAGAGAATAACAGAGTATTGTTAGCAAAAAGTAGTTGACTAATCTTAATAGAGCCACACTTGGACAATAACCCGTGAGATGGCCTCAATTTTCTCCTTGAATAATCCAAATGTTTTGAGCTTGCTAAATTTAAAGCTTCCCAATAGTGTGCCTTATCAGATCTCTTTTTGGGTTACTCTTCCAACATCATTTGGGAAGCTCTTGTTTCACTTTAATTCTATGTTCTTTACTTTATTATGCTCCTCTTTCACCCCATTTTGAGGTTTGTGTCCTTGAACACTAGTGTTTTTTTCATTCATCCATGAAAATTTAGTTTCTTGTCCAAAAAGAAGAATAAGCAGCAGCCAGCTAAGAGCATCCCGTCACCATGATGAAGATAAAAGAAGACAAGGGGTCTCCTCTCAAACCTCTAATGGCAGAAAACTTGCCTCTCGATTTTCCATTGATGATGATAGAAAAAACTAGTTGTGGAGATGCATGCTTGGATCCATTTCCTCCATTTTGCCCCAAAGCCCTTGTGGTGTAGTACTGTATCTAAGAAATCCTGAGTCGACCATGTCAAAGGCTTTCTATAGGTAAAGTTTGAACACTGCTCCTTCTTGCTTCCTCTCTTTCCATTCATAAAAAATAATCAACCCTTTCAATTGTCACTCAAATAAAAATTCTAAAAGGATATCTTTTATATCAACAACTATTATCATTAATAGGATTGACTTATTCTATAATTTTTTTTATCAAGTTTAAGTAGTAAAAGTATTAATAAATTAAATTGCCACGACTCACGTATTAGCATTTCATACACAAAAAAACCTTTATATTTTTTAAGAATGTGACAATTTGATAATATTCTTCAAATAATTACTTAAGGCATAAAGACTTTAAGCCTTCGAGGTAATCAAACCTTTTAAAACATTGCTAGACGTAATAGTTATATAAGAATATAAAAAATAATCACCCCTTTCAATTGACTCTCAAATAAAAATTCTAAAGGGATATCCCTGACATCACAACTATTATCATTAATAGAATTGACTTACTGTATAAATTTTTGTCAAGTCTAAGTAGTAAAAGTAGTAATAGATTGAATTGTTACTGCTCAATGGTAGCATTCCATGCACAAAAAAACCTTTATATTTTTGCAGGATGGGGCAAATTGATATTATTCTTCTAATCATTACACAAGGCTTAGACTTTAAGCCTTAGGGCGTTTTCATGGGCGTGTAAGCCTCGAGCCTATCAAGCCTTTTAAAACATTGCTTGGACGAATAAAAGAGATATAAATTTGGTTCCTGAATCCGATGTCAACTATTTCATTAGAGGAAAATTTTCTGGATACTTACAGCAACAGGCCCTTCAACCCTCACTAGGGGCACCTTTGGGAAAACAGCTGATCCCTCTGAAATAGCATAGACTTCAACATCAGAACAGTTGATTCCTCTAAGATAATCGTAGAACGCATCCTATATTTAATCAATAAAAGTTCTTCAGCATCAGAACAGTCAATTCCTCTATAATAAATTAATAATCAACAGTAACACATCCTATATTTAATCAATAAAAGTTAGCTTGCCAGACAAGAACCTCTTATAATAAAGCTTGCATCACCAGATATCAAAATTGAAATTCAAAGGTATTGGGAGATATAACTAATATGGTTTTGATATGTAACTAAATGTGAGTACTTTACCTACTATAAGGAAGACCATACAAACCAGTTCTTTTAGAACTCCTGGACACAGAGGTACAATCTATAGGTTTAAGGCCGTAAGATCATATAAACCAATTACTTTTAGTTAATAACAAGCCCAAATATGTTAATAGTAACAAAGGATCTACATTTGATAACCACCCAGCCAAAAGATAAATGTTCGTTCAAAGAGCTAAAATATAGGAGTTCTTTATTATGTCAGTTGAGATTCCTATGCTTCTTAGGTACATCCAAATCTTCATTTTAGTATTTCTATTTGCGTGGACTAAAACATGAAATTTGGCATGCATTATTCTTGTAATCATTAAGAGGCAATAGAGCATGTCTTTCTATGTTGTGTGGGACAAAGGAGGTGACATGTGGCCAATCTTTATTAAGTTTTAAATTAATTTAGCAGCTTTACTTGTAGAATGCAACATCTGATTAATTTAAACATGAAGTGGTCTACCACATAAACCAAAGCAGAAGTTGACGTCTACGAACCACATAATCAGTAAATTCGGTTACCTCACAGGATGAAGGTAGAGACTTCTTGATAAAAGAGATTTCTTCCTCTGTGAATTTGAAATTAGCAATAAGTCTTATGCACTCCTCTAAACCAGCAAAAATTGTATATTCACCACCAAAAGGATTCTTCCGAAAATATAAATCAAACCTGAACCACAAAAAATTCACACAATTATCGTTCTAAATAAACATAAGCATATTTTCCCTTAAAGACATCTCCAAACAATGGCTTCAATATATTTTATTGATTTAGAAGGGACTGGGGGGACTGGGGGTCCTTATAGCTTTGGATGAGTCAACCAGATTGGAAAAAGTGGATTTTCAACTTCTAGATATTGCAATAAATTTAATAGCCCAGTAAAGGCTGAAATCAGTTCTAGGAGGCCGTACATACTCGAATAGCTGGTTAAATACCGAGATGAATTTCCAAACTCAAAAATATGGATTTTGTGAATAGTTTTTTAAGTTTAAAATGATTTTCCAGATTAACATTACAAAGACACTTCAAAAGTCGAAAATAGCAATTTCCAACCCAGACTAGTGTATCATCTACAGCATAAAGTCAAAAAATAAAGCTTGGGCAAACGCTCCACCAAAATTTTTTAACTCTGCGGCCCAAGAAGATTGAAGGTGGTCATTCTAATTAAAGCATTTTTTGTTTGTTTAGAAAAATAGCATCTAAGTGATTGATTAACCATTCTGTACTGAATTGTTCTTTTTGTCACACTTCATTCAACCCCACCAGGTCAGAATCCTAAATTCTTCACAATTTCGCACTTTCTCCATTAAACACCATGCCCCGGGCTCCAGTGGGTTCATTGATGTGTTCTTAATACAGGAAATAAATAAAAATCCAAACAAAATTTCCCCTCAATTCAATATTACAAGTTTCCAACTCTGTTGCAGCTTAGCATGTAATCAGCAAACCAAAAAAGACAACTAAATTAGAGAACAAAAAGAAAAGAAAGAAAGAAAGAAAGAAAGAAAGTCAAGATAAAACAAGCCAGCAAAGACTGGTTACTAAAAGCCAAGGAATGCACAATTTTCATTTCAAACCACAGCTCTATACACACTTCTTTTCATTTCCGTATCAAGTACGAAATCTAAGCAACAGAAACGACGCATTGTGTAAAGATACAAGAAAGAACTTACACGGCGCGTTCTTTATGCTTGCCGGCTTTCCAATAAGCATAAGCCATAGTGAACTGATAAAGATCCGTAAGCAAAGGGGAAACCATTGGATTGGTGGGTCCGTCCACCACCCGAGCCGAAGAATCTCCATATCTAGGCCCGTTCGCCTTCGCCTTCGCCTCCATCGCTCAGAAAGAAAAAGAAAAACTCCACAGAATCAATTGAAGCTCGTATGGAAATTACACACAGCAAAGCTTATAAAAGCGAACAAGAAGTATTCAGTATTCAGTTGCAGAGGAGACCGTTAATGGAGAACGAAAAGGAAGAGAGAAGCTGAGCAACAAATCAGAGTTTGGAATTTGTTTGTAAATTTTTCTGTTAATTTAGAAGAAGAATGTTTAAGAAAGAAAGAAAGGGGGAACTCAAGTCTTAAGTGAAAGAGAGGAAAGAGTTGCCCTTGTCTTGTCTCGAGCCTTGAGATCTTGTTTCCAAATCGATTTTTTACTCTCATATTCATGAAGTTTTACACGTTATAATAAAAATGTCGAGATCTCAATTTTTAGAAATATTATAAAAATAAAAAATCATAAAAAATATTTAAAATAACATATAAACATTTCAATATTTTAAAAATGAGTTTAAAATAATTAATATTAATACTGGTATTTTGTTGATGTTTTTCATATTTTATCTATTTTTCTCGCATTCTAAAGAAACGTCGATTTATTCCTCGAATCTATGTATACATACAAATATCGACATGTTGATAGATATTTAATATCGTGAATATTAAAGAGTGGAGCGAAGAAGAGGGTGGTCCACGATGACAAAATTAAGAGATGACACGAGTGGAGAAGATGAGAGGTTTGTGCTCATAAATTTATTTTAAATTTAAGGATTTAAGAAATGAAAATTATTTTAAATTTCTAATCTTATTTGGAACCTAATAGATGTTTTTAGGAAATTACAAATATAACACATAAGTGATATGTATTTTTATGTATATAGCAAATTTATAGATGTTTGTAATATTAAAAAAAACAAAAAAATAATGATATTTTTATAAAATACAAATTTGTTTTGATTTTCGTAAATTTCTTTTAATCAATTTCAAATCAGTAAAAATAATACTTTTTGTTTGGATGCTAAAAAAACCTAAAAGAAAATAACTATTTTGCAATTATATTCTTATAATTATATAGACATATAAACCTAAATCCCAGTTTCAAAAAGAGAACCTAAATCCTAACTTTTAAAATAGGGGTAAAATTAGGAGGAGGTCAACTTTAATTTAAAATACTGACGAAATCCAAAACAAAATTTCAAATGTGTTTTTCTTTTCAGACCAAATACCGATGGACCGAAGGCACCCAAAACCGGACCGAACCATCCGGTTCGATTCCTCAGTTTTGACGGTTTTCTGCACGCCCCTCATACAGTGATCTTAACGATTTTATCGACTGGAATTTTTCATGGAATCTCCTCGGCAAACTCGAGGCAATTTTTCAAAATTTTTTTATAAATGAAAAATATTAATTAGTTAAGATCCAGGATTGGTTCTTTACTTGTAATATGATATTGTAGAAAACCATAAGTATTTTAAAATCATAAATACATAAGATATATTTTAATATTTTTCTAAAAAAAGAGAGAAAAATATGTTGGAGAAGAAATCCAACTAAAAGACGATCAAGAAGTGACAGTTGGAAGTGAGACCATTGGGGTAGAGGAACGAAGACTATCATGTCTACTAGATGGTAAAAGCGACGTGTTACAGGGTGCAGATAGCAGTCTGCATAAAAGACATATTGGTAGGTAGTAGAACACTTGCTGCACACCAATAATGTCATCGCCTGACAGTCTACATCCCGTATTGTGAGCAGTACCATTTTGCCGTGTACGAAATGTCCTCCCTGGTCGGTCAAGAATACTTGTAAAAGGGGAAAACCATAACCATTATCAAGTAAGTGACAAATATATCACTCATCTCTTAAGGTGCTCCCTACTATCTTTACTTCGATTACTAACTTGAGCGTCGGAATCTTTTAAGCGAGGCATCATACTCGTCATCAATAATATATTTTAACACTATTTTAGTTTTTGAACTTTTTACTTTAATTTTCAAACTTTCAAACATTTTATTTTAGTGGACAAACTTTGCTATATCATTAATTACTTAAATAATTAAACTTTTTAAGTATTCGTTCAGAATATTAACTTTCTATGAGCGTTCATATATACCAACCGTTCTATGAAACACAAAAACGTAATAAAGATAAAAGTATTTTTTTCTTTTGTGGGCCACGGATTTGTCTATAATCTCTTTCTTTTATGTGTTCAATGTACTAATTTATACATTTTTTTTAGTACAACATATGGGGTAGGATTTCGAACTCATGATCTCTTAATCATATTAATTATCGTTATATTCGTTTTGGCTACTAATTTATACGTAAGGAAAAAAATTCCATTCTGAATAAAATATATATTTTTCATGATATCATTGTCACGAAAAAGTTGTTGGCCATTATTTTTTTGCAATATTTAAATAGAGAGGTTATTTGGATTTTGATGAGATAATATATTTATATATTTAAGTGGTTGGCACGAGAAGACCAGGCAAAGATTTGTTTTTTTCTTTTTTTTATTAATTTAAATCTAGCTCTATTGATTTAGACAATACCTTTAATTAAAAAGTCATAGTCATGAATTTGAATTTACTGTGTTTAAAAATATTTGTTTTTCTTACTTTTTTCAAAGGAAAAAAGAAAAAATATATTTGTTTTTCCTCTCTTCTTTTCTGTCTTTTTTCTCAATTGTGATTCACAAATTTTTCAATCATATTATCATGTAATATTTAATTCATTCAAATATTTATATAATATAGTGTCGTGAGTGAGTTGCCGACTAAGATAGATCTAAGATAGATACTCTAAAATTGTATATATAATTATTCATATTTATATTTTGGTTCTTATAATGTTTCTTATTTATAACGACTTTGTTTGTTTATGGGATAAAATGGACAACGACATGTAGAGATATAGACCACTCTATGTAATACACATGGCCTTAGGCTGAGCATGAAAAGGTGCACAAAATATTCGACTCTTACCATGTGAGTTTGTTGAGTGTTTGAGGAGTAAAAAATGTCTGTTCTTGGGAACCATGCTTCGAAACCTCACCCAAAGCTTGGTCTCAAACAAGGTCAAGTCGAGGTGTCAAGGAGTAAAATCGTTCTCTGACTACTCGCTCGCTCACTATTATATAACTCGTGTCTAGATTCACTATTGCATGAATGTTCTCTATGTGCAGGTACGCAAATTTAATTGCTTGTCTTGAAAACACCTCGAATTTTATTGACTTGAATGTTGAAGCTCGTTCCTTTTCTTATGCAGGTCCCTGTCAAGTTTTCTCAACATTTAGATCATGTACTTAAACATAGTTCTTATTCATTTACAAATATGATAGATTAATATTTCAGTCTCTATACTTCGACTTATCTATTTTAGTTCTTGTAGTTTCAAATTTCTAATTTAGTACTATCAAGAAATTTTAAAACGAAGCTTCATCATTATTTTGTAGTTACTCTTTATCTTATTTGATAAAAAAAATTATATTTAAGAAAAGACCTAAGGTGAATATATTTCTCAAATTTCTAGAAGGAAGGTGTTCAGTAATAGAGACTTAATTTTTTTGCAAAAGTCAACTTTGAACTTACGGTGGAAACTAATTTTAAGGTTAAATGTACTAAATTTGAGCATTTGAAAGTATAAATATTAAATTTGAACCAATTCTAAAGTATAGGTGACAAAATGGTATTTTAATTAATAGAATGATTAGTTCATTGAATTAAAAAACTAATTTAAGAATGGAGAAAGTTCAATTTGTTAATTATATATCAATTTCTACCCTAAAATTTAAAGTTGGTCCTTTAGACTTGGATAAGTTTTGTAAATTGTGTAGAATAAAAAATGGCAACATTTATTATTTATACTTTTAGGTGGATGTAACAAAAGTCATATTAATATTTAATGTTCCATTTAATGAAATTAAAATTTTAGAATAAAACTTAATTAACATTGCTAAGTTGGGGTAAAATTGAATTCTGCCTTTAAAAATTCAAACAAAAAACAATATTTTCAAGGAAGCTTTAAATGATATAAAATTAAAACTTGTTCAATTACGTGCGTAGCTTGGACGTGATTGAGTGATCATTACTTTTTTTTTTTTTAAAGTCCTAAGTTGGAAAATTCCCGCCCCTATTTGTGATGTTAATATGCATATACACTCGTATGTATGATTCAATTATAGTAGTTTTTTTTTTAATTTAACAATACGTGTGGGGTCGTGGCGGATTCATAAATTTTGTCAAGGGAACTCCATACTAATTTACTTACAAGTAATTTGAAGAATTCGTAAGTATGATTTTGAGGCAGCAATATCCTTTTGTGTAAATATATTCTCCGAACCTGGTTTCAAATATTACAATTATGATCAACAATTCTACTTCTTAGATTAGTATCTCTAAAGTTAAATTTGATAATTTAGGCTAGATTTTTATATACTAATTATATTTATTCAAAAGTTCAAAGGGCCGAACTGGAGCCCCATAGGCGCAACGTACATCCGTCTGTGTGGAGGTGAGGATTCTAACCTTTGATCTTTTTTCGAGAATTTATATCTTAACCACTTGAGTTATGTTCATGTCGATAAATAACATTTTAACAATGTTATATGTCAATTTGAGCATAATTTAATGGTGGTACAATTAAGGTATCTCTAACTCCTTACGTTTGAATTTTCGATTGTGATGTAAATATTTGGAAGGTGAAGAACATTTCTTTTTAGAGGTGGAGAGTGTGCAAATTAAAGAGAGAGGATACATTATTAGGGAGGGCACTCGAAAGAGAGACAATCGAAATATATTATAGGGTGTTAGAGTGGGAGGGAATTAGGAGTGTTATTTTGGGCGGGTATGAGTATCAGAATTCATAAAACAACACATCAAAAAATTTAAATTTCACCATTCAAATTATCAATACAAGTCGTAGATATTAACAATGTCTTGTAAGCCAACAATATCTCATAAATTTCACATACAAATATTTATAGGTTTAGAAGTCTTTTATATATATAAATAAATAAATAAATAAATGGTGTGAGGGACAAGGAACTTAGGCAAGGAGACGGAGAAAACTTCCCTATGACCACTTAAACGGGATTAGATGTTTTGCTATTTACTATTTAGTGGGTCCTCGTCAGAAAAGGTAACATATTTAACCGAACGATTTTGAGGTAACAAAACACGTTACTTTAAACGATTTTATTGATGTGTTTAATGAAATCAATAAATTAAAACCAAGCAACCATATCATTAACAAATGGTGTTCCATTTAATTAATACTAAAAGGCTTGCTCTCGGGAGATCACAGCATCACACTTGAAAAGATTTTTGTTTTTTATAATAAATACTAAATTGACTACACTTATTAAAT